GCTCCCCCTTCATGAAGCTAGGTTGTGAATGTAATTATACTGAGTAAATTCCTCTTATTTTTTTCCCCCTAAGCTCCTTCAAGTTAGACCTGAAGCTGATGGTTCTAAAGTAGGGAGGGCAGTGTTTCTCAAACTTGAGAATTTATTCTTCCCTGAGAACTCGAATCTGAAAAATTCATTTGGGCAATACAGAGGTGCCTGGGTTAGGATGGTGAGTCTGTGGCTTTGATCTAGGCAGCAGCTTTAAAACCAGATAAACGTGGACTGGTTCTGCCACTTCCTAGCTTTGTGACCTTCAGCATGTGAATTGTCCTCTTTGACCTGTATGTCTTTATTTATGAAATGGGAATGCCATCATGGGTAGTGGCAAGAATTCAGATGCTGTATCGAAGACCTAGCTCAGTGCTAACGCTGCACTCACACTCAACAAGTGTTAGTGCAGTTCCCTTTTCCTCCCTCTTCAGTCTTCTGAGTAAAGAAATATGTGCAAGATACACAGCAAAGCTTGCGCAGGCATCCCTTGGAGATTTGCGGGTTTGGTTCCAGACCACTGTGGTTAGTATCACAATAAAGAGAATTATAATCTTTTTGCTGGTGAAGGGTCTTTTCTTCATTTTGTAAAAAAATGCAACATCTGTGAAACGAAATAAAGCAAAGTGCGCTAAAACACTTAATTTCAAAGTTAATTTCAAAGGGGAAGTGTAACTGTCCCCTTCCTAGGCCTTTTTCATATTCTTTGGTTGTACTGGTCTTTAGTTCATTATTTGAAATAATTAAGTGCCGGTCTTTGTTGTGAATGATTTTGTACATTTTTGGTTGTAAATGATAATTGTTAAATCAGACTTGACCTAAAAATTCTAATATGTTAATCCAAAGCTTAAATACCTATTGTCAAGATGACTGATGATTCTGAGGACTAATTGGATTATAAACTTCTTGTGGGCAGGGACAATCTTCAACTTGTTTTTTTTTTTCCTCAAAGCCTCAGAGTTCTTGTGTGTACTGATTAGGTCGTTGTTTATCTAAATGGAGTTTGTAGTAATCAGAGGATCTTTATGAAGATACTTGGAGCCATTTCTCTGATAAGAGAGGTGAGAAAGAGTATAACTTTGGCAAGTCTATGAAGAAGGACGTTCCAGAACGGGTATTGAGTTGATTTGAAAGCCGGGACTTAGATGAAGCAAAAGAACAACTTGTTTGAAAGATGTGGAAGATCTAATAGTTTGATAGATAAAAGAATGAAGTTTTCTCACAGTGTGGGTTTTGAATTTGTCTTAAAGTATGGTAATATCTGCAAACAACTTTAAAGATGGGAAGAGTGTAATCAAAGTAAGTAGGGAAGATAATTCAGAAGCAACACAGGTTTGAAGGTAAAATAACTGGCTGCAAAAATCTTAGTAAGTGATCAAATATATTTAACTGAAATGGTTAAGTACCTCATATGTAAAACATTGTTGTGGGAAATACAAAAACTAATCAAGTAAATGAAAGCATAGGGCATAATAAAATATTTTTCCCTTTCATACTAACAGTAATAAACAGACCAAAACATCTGGTAAAGAGTCCCCAGGTGCCTGATTGGCAGATAGCTGTCAAGGTAAAAGAGAACTGCGGAATTGCAACCTTAACCTCTACAACTTAAAAATATTCTGGGAAAAAGGGCGAGATAATGAGCGAATACCTTTAAGAGTACCAGGCAGGAGTACCTGTCTGTCCGAGTGACTTTCTGCAGAAGAGGTCTGTCAAAGGGCTTACGGAGAAGAGACAGTCCTTACAGGTGCCCAAGGTCTCACTTGTCCTCTCAGGCTTCAGAGTTGGCTTTGTTCATGTACCCTCTTGATTCGCTCACGGTTTTTCAGGAGAAATTTTGCTGAAACAACAACAATAGTACCCTTTGACATTCCTGATTCACCAGAGTGCTGCCCAGACACCGTTCACCCCGTTTCTAAGTCAGCTTAGAAAGCCAGCACGAGGGACTGCACTCAGTGCTGGTCCTGTGTGGGACTTCTTTTTAAATCAATAGTCTGGCAGATAAAATAGACAATTTACTCATTAAAAGTATGTATTTCATTAAGCTAAGATGAGGAATCCAAAAGATCTTTGAAATTAAGAGTAGATTTTTAAAGTCTTTCTAAAAAATTAGAGAGTTGCTTTTGAAGGAAACAATTCATCCTAGGTCAATCTCATTTTCCCTGGCAGCCTGGAAGTGGTTTAAGAATGAGGTTTCCACAGCAAATTGTTTGAGTTCAGATAGGCATTTTTTAAAAATATCTATTTTATTGATTATGCTCTTACAGTTGTCCCATTTTTTTCTCTCCTTGATTCCCCTCCACGCTGTAACCCCCCTCCCACCAGCTTCATGTCCATGTCCACGGGTCGTACGTGTAAGTTCTTTGGCTTCTCCGTTTCCTATGCTATTCTTAACCTCCCCCCGTCTATTTTGTACCTACCATTTATGCTTCTTATTCCCTGCACCTTTCCCCCCACTGTCCCCCCACTGCCTCCCCTCTGATCTCCATTTCTGTGATTCTGTTCCTGTTGGAGTGGTTTGCTTAGTTTGTTTTTGTTTTCTTTAGGTTCAGTTGTTGATAGTTGTAAGTTTGTTGTCATTTTACTGTTCATAGTTTTTGATCTTCTTTTTCTTAGATAAGTCCCTTTAACATTTCATATAATAAGGGCTTGGTGATGATGAACTCCTTTAACTTTACCCTGTCTGGGAAGCCCTTTCTCTGCCTTCCATTCTAAATGACAGCTTTGCTGGAGAGAGTAGTCTTGGATGTAGGTCCTTGCCTTTCATGACTTCAAATCCTTCTCTTCAGCCCCTTCTTGCCTGCAAGGTTTCTTTTGAGATAGCAGCTGATAGTCTTATGGGAACTCCTTAGTAGGAAGTGTCTCCTTTTCTCTTGCTGCTTTGAAGATTCTCTCCTTATCTTTAATCTTGGGTAAAGGGATTATAATATGCCTTCGTGTGTGCTTGCTTGGGTCCAATTCCTTTGGGACTTTCTGAGCTTCCTGGATCTCCAGATAGGTCATTTCCTTTGCCAGATTGGGGAAGTTCTCTTTCATTATTTTTTCAAGTAAGTTTTCAACTTCTTGCTCTTCTTATTTTCCTTTGGGCACCCCTATGATTTGGATGTTGGAATGTTTAAAGTTGTCCCAGAGGTTCCTAAGCCTCTCCTCATTTTTTTGAATTCTTGTTTCTTAATTCTGTTCTGGTTGAATGTTTATCTCTTCCTTCTGCTCTAAATCATTGATTTAAGTCCTGGTTTCCTTCCCTTCACTGTTGGTTTCCTGTATATTTTCCTTTATTTCACTTTGCATAGCCTTCACCTTTTCCTCCATTTTGCAACCATGCTCAACCATTTCTGTGAGCATCCAGATTACTAATGTTTTGAACTGTGTACCTGGTAGGTTGGCTATCTGTTCATCACTTAGTTCTATTTTTGGAGCTTTGATCTGTTCTTTCATTTGGGCCATATTTCTTTGTCTCCACGCACCTGTTATGTTGTAAGGGCCAGAGTCTTAGGTATTCCCCAGGGTGGGGCAACCCACGTTGCTGCATTTTACTCTGTATGTGCAGGAGGGATCCAAGAGGGAACATTGCCAGTTGCTTGGCTCTTGGCCTGCTTCCGGTCACTTCCCCTGCTACCCACAGCAAATTGGACCCTTCTGGTGCTGATTCCCAGATAGGTGGGTTTGTGTACATTCTAGGACCCGTGGGTCTCTCCAACAACTCTTGTGAGGCTGGGAGTTTCTCCTGCCACTGCAACCCTGATGGGTTTTTACTGCTAGAGGTTTTAAGGCTTTCTTTTCCCACGCTGGAACCCTGGGTTATGTGGTCTGTCTCACTCCCCAGCTGTTCCTCCTGGTTTATCTGCACATGAATGTGGAACCGCCTGGTCCTCTGGCCACTGCCTTGATGCGTGTCCTCTCCGCCGCAGCTTCCTGTCTCCACCCCTCCTCCTGGTCTGGATCAATGTTTCTTCTTTAACTCCTTGGTTGTCGGACTTTCATACAGTTCGATTTTCTGGCAGTTCTGGTTATTTTTGTTTTTAAATTTGTTGTTGCCCCTCTTTAGGTTGTGTGAGGAGGCAACATGTATCTATCTATGCCTACATCTTGGCTGGAAGTTCTACTTTTCTGATTTTGATGAACAGATTTCTCTGAAAAGCACTTCTTTCACTTTAGGAGAGGCAGTAATAGATTTCCCAGGAGGAACATTTAACAGTTGTCATGTGAACCTGGTGGGCATGGCGAGGGGTTGAAGAGTGGCTGAAAGTCCAGTAGATTCCTTTTGGTAAGTTTGGAATCATTCATTCATTCATTCAAGACGCAAGAGGGAGAAATAGACCTTGAGTCCAGAAAACCAGCAGTTAAAGACAAGTTATCAGAAATGCTTACCTCCACATTTAAATTTGGAGTAGGTTAGGAAAGGAAGCACTGTAACTGGAGTATAGGTATAAAGTGTGGTTCATTGTTCCCCAGCCAGGGCCATTGTTGAGCCTAGTAAAGGATTAATGAAAGAATTTAGTATTTAACAGTTTAATTGTTTTGGTAAAAAAGTATGCAAGCCAAGTCTGAGGGGAGGCAGGGAGCTCTAACCAAGTCTCAGTCGCTGTCGTAACCTTTGTAATATAACAAACGCCAGACACCCATTAATCCCGTAAACACCTAGAATGCAGAGAAATGAATGAAGTGGCAGAGCTCAGATTGTTGTGTACTGAAACCACAAAACAAAGGCACTGGTGTTACATCCCTGCAGCAGCACGTGTGTGATTGTGTAATGCTCCTTCTGGTATGTCTGGCTTCACCGGGAGAACCCTTCTTGTGGAATGTACTTTAGGCTGGAAGTATCTATTGGGTTTTTTTTGCTACCCTCACTCCTGGCGGGTCCCGCTGTGCTTCTCAGGAAGATGGTTCTTTTTTCCGTATCATTCTTCATTGCTTTCCCCTAGTCACGTTGGTAGTTATTAATATAACATCAATGTCTCTTTTTTCAGTCCGCCTCGCCCTCTGGCTAACATGAATGACACCGTGGTGAGCCACATGTCCTCTGGAGTACCCACTCCCACCAAGAGGTATGTGTCACGCCTTCTGCTTCAGTCGCCACTCAGATCTGGGGACAGGCCTCTCGCTGGAAAGTGGAGCATTGCACCAGGCAGGAAGGACTGGCTTGCTTTCTCCTCCTTTGACACTGTTTTAATATTATTTTCTACTTTTTACTTATTTATTTTCCTACATATTCCTAAATATAGCAGCTGAAGGAGTCTGTTTTGAGTGGTGCCTTGAGGTGGAAACTGCATTTGTGACAGGCAGCGAACATAGTGTCAAAATAGATTCGGCATGTTTAAGGTCTTTTTTTGAACATTAAAAACATTTTGATAATCGTAAATTTCAACACTCTTGCATTTGAGTTCTTTGAGTGTCAAAGATGGATTCTTGTCCTGATTAGACTGTGTACGTTAATTCCTTATATTCTCTGAAGTCATTTTGTAGATGAGTCATACACATTCAAGTTGAAAAGCATGAGTCCTTCTCTTAGCTATACAGGTACTTTCCTTTAGGGTCTTTCAAGGAGCTAGAGCTGTGTGTCTACCTTCTCTTCTTTATTTAATTTACTTCGCTCCAAAATCCTCTTAGGCAGGACTTAAAAGAACTATATAAAATAGCTTACTTTCTATTTGATTTAAGCTGTTCCATGACCAGAGCAATGCTGAAACTCCCTCAGGGGCACCTCCATTAAAAATTCTTTCTAGTAGTCATCACTCAAAAAGAAACCAACAGCAACAGCAAAAGCATTTCAACCCACACCCCAAGTCCTTCCCGAAAGAAACCACTTTGTGCCTCAGTGTACTGATTGCTTTGGAGTAAGTCAGCTCTAGAAATATCATCTGGTTAATAATACTTTGACTTAATATGTAATACACAGCAGGTTCTCAAATAGCATTGTTTTGTTCAGTGTCATTTCATAATAACATTGATAAGATGCCCTAGGAAGTTGTCTTGTTTACATCAATTAGCCAGTGCTAAAATTCATTTCATTGCACATCGTTTTGCCACAGTTCCAAGGACCTCCCCACGACATTAAGTGAGTACTTACTGTGTAATACTTAAGATCGACGGTTAGTTCCCATCGGCTAAAACTCCTAGAGCAGTGTTTTCCAAACCTGACTGATGCAAACAATCACCTGGGTCACTTAATAAAAATACAACTATCTGGAATCACATCAAATCCAATGGACCCTGAGATCCTGAGAAACTACACTTTTAAAAAGAATTCCAGGTGATTCTTATCATCAGGCAAGTTTGGAAAATAGCCTTAGGAAGAAGCTAAGTAGTAAACCCCGTAGGCAGGCTACCCTGGAATAGAGGATTCAGGGACTTAATAAATCAGAGTGAGCTGATAGTGCAGTGTAATCCACATGGAGACTCAAGACCCTGACCGCGTGAGAGTGCTCGCCCACAGCCTTGTTCATACTCTGCCGGCAGGAGAGTAGCCACGCTGCTTCTCCTGGGCAGGGTTGAGTAGTACCATGTACTACAGCATAGACTTTTTTTTTTTTTTATTCTCAACATATTTATTTACTTATTTTTCTCTCTTTTTAAATTGAATTTATTGGGGTGACATTGATTAATAAAACCATACAGGTTTCACATGTACAACTCTATATAACACATTGGCTGTGTACCGCATTGTGCTAGAGCAGCAATTTTCAACCCATGTGCAGTGAGAATTTTTAAAACATGCACTACCTGACTATTTAGTTGGGGGTACTGACCTCTTTTCCCTTAGATTGTCAAATAAAAAAATAGCAACAGCCAACACAATAGCCACCTGGTATGAACAAATCAAAATTACACCTATTTTTGATCAGGGTGGCAAAAAATATAAATAATGTTTTTTTTTTGGTGTCCCTCAGAATTTGAGTAGTTTATATGTGCCATGAGATGGAAAAAGTTGAGAATCACTCTGCTAGAACATAGACTTTTAACTTGAACTGTCTTCATTTGAATCCTGGCTCCCAACTGACCTTGAACAAGATTTATGTGCTTTGTTTTGTTTTTCTTATCTATAAAATGGGGATAGTAATAGTGTCTACCTTGTGGGGTTTGAGAGAATTTAATATCTTGTTTTCATTATTTAAGAAGTAAACTGTAATGAGAGAACAGGTGAGGGAGAACATAATAATTTATGGATAATACTCTCTCAAGGAGGAACAAAAAGCTTCTGGAAGAATACAGAATGATTAGTCCTCTCCCATCTACCTGGTATCCCAACAGCCCTTGCTGCGCTTAGTCCTTAGCTTTTGATGTCAAACACCCATAGCATTTAAGCCCAGACCCAGAACCTATCAACTCAGGGTTATTTCCATTTCAGAATTAGGAAGACAAGGTAGATTGTTGGAAAAAGTCAGCTTGGAGGTTGTATGTTAGTTTTAGCAATGCCACCTATTAGGGTTACACCTCATCTGCGTTGTCTTCATGTAGTAGTTTCGTCGCTTGGGGTGCCTGAGTCCCTGTGGGCCCTGTGTGCCTGAGCGCCAGACGCTCAGTGACCACAGCTGGCTGTAGCCGCCGGAGGCTGTTAGGGGAAGTGCATTTTTCTAGACCAGGGGTGTCCAACCTTTTGGCGTCTCTGGGCCACACTCGAAGAAGAGTCATCTTGGGCCACACGTTACATACGCAGACACTAACGAAAACTGATAAGCAGGAAAAAAAAAAGATTTTAAGTAAATTTATGATTTTGTGTTGGGCCACATTCATAGCCGTCCCGGGCTGCATGCAGCCCGTGGGTCACGGGTTGGACACCCCTGTTCAAGACAATGTTGTATGGCTTAAGGAGCCTGAAGGAAGAGACTCGGGAGCAGTAACAGTCGCAGCTGCCTCCGTAGGACTGACCTTTAGGCCTGAGGTGTCAGTATTGAGCCCCAGGTTTACTAGTAAGTGGCCAGCTGCAATTGTCAGTCACAAAGTACCTATCATTTCTGAAAGCGGTTTTAGATAATATAGCACAGCCTAAATTAAGATTTTATTTTGAAGTTAGCATTTCCACTAGCACCTCTTTCTAGGTAGACTTAGTCCCAGAGTCCCAGGGGCGGGTGTAAGGGCTGCCCAGCAGACAAAGGGCAGCCAAAGCCCTTCTCAGAGGAGAGAGAGGGAGGGAATGCGGTAGCTACTGAGGAAGCGGAGTTACTGGAGCAGAGGCTACGTGGCAGCAAGATGCCCCCATACTGATAATGTGGTCCTTTGAATTTTAGGAGATTTCATTTATATTCAGGGTGACGTTATGATATAACATGGGAACATTAATTGCATAATTCATAGTTGTGGCTCTTCATGGCCCCTGTTATCAATATACATTTCCAGCTAGTATTCCCTTTACTTCCTCAAGGACTCATCAGTTTTCCTTTCTTCTACTGAATGCTGTCAGACCTGGGGTTCCAGAGTCTGATGAAAGGCAGGAGCCCAGCATGTCACCCCAGTCACAGAGCCTTCCTCTGCGAAGGCAGAGGACCCTCAAGGGGATAAAGCTCCTCTCCAGAAAGACGAGGTTTCCTTTAGAACTCAGCATAAGACACAAGTCTCTGAATTAGACAAGGACATGCACAGGAATGAAAATGCAGGAAAAGTTAAGAGCCCCAGTTTCTACCTAATAGACAGTGCATAGAAAAAGAAAGTGATAGCCACAGTGATCAAAAATAGTACTATACTATATATCAGTCCGAATAGGCAATGATCTCAAATATAAGGGCTACTTTTTATAGAAGAAAACCTTATAAGTGGCAGCGATGCTGGCTGTCATGTGAGATACTATGAATTATGTTCCTGAGAGGTTCCACTCTAGGGGTTTGCCCTGTATAATATTCTTTTATTATTTCCATATTTCGATTTCTGTAATTTAAAAATTTTTTGCCTTTGCCTTAGCCTAGTCTCTAAAATTTTTAAAAATAATTGGAAAATATTAAATTGCTTTCTTTAAAAAGAATCAGAATAGTGCACCTAAAAACAGACAACCAAAAAACTTCAAAAGATGTTTAAAATCTCCCTCTTCCATCTGATTTCCTCTGAGGTTTGCTTTTGTCCCTCTTTTATCCCAAGATTCAGAATGTGAACTGTGATACTGTGCTCTGCACTGTTTGAAGTCATCTCATATATTCAGACCAATGTGGGAAATGATGCTAATATTTTCTGTTTTTACTGTCTAATAAAGATTGATCTTATTTATAAATATTTAAATTTTTACAAGTCTCTGGACATTTCATATAACTATGGCAATAACAAAAATCTTAAGTATAAAACTCTTTGCCTTGTACATTTGGTTGGTATATTAGTATCAGCTCTTAACTTCAGGTATTAAAATTTAACTTTCAAAAAGCACAAACCCAGTTAAGCCAGATGAAAAAGTTATAGTCAACACTACTATCCTGTACCCTTGGAAATTTAAGAGGACAGATCTCATATGTTCTTACTCCAGTAAAAAAGGGGGGAAAAGGCACAAACCCACAAAGGTCAAAGCAGAGAAGGGCAGATGCGTCCACAGGCCACAGAAGCAGCTGAACGGCCCCAGGGTGCCCTGCGTCTCTTGCTGCCTCAGTCTTCCATCCTTTTTACCACAGGACAGCTACTCAACACTGCCGACACTTCAGACCCACATCCATGGCCTGTCAGTCAAGATGCTGTGACTCTCCCATGGAGGAGAAAGCTCCAGGGATTGTATGGCTGCCCAGCTTTGTATGTATGTGATGAGTTATACCGTTAAGAACAGAAGAGAGCAATCCTGGCACAGAAAAACAACAGAGGTTGTTGGCAGACCACTGTTTTGCTACCCAGCACACCCATGTGTTCAAAAGTGTGTACCTGCCCACATGCACGGGCCCTCGCACACTTCCCATACACACTGACAGTTCCAGAGTTTCCCTTCTTCACATAATACAGCTGTCCATATACAACTGCGAATGCACACAAGCCTTTCCCAGGAGTCTTGCCCATCCCTTGTTGACAGCACAGGGTCCCAGATAACCAGGTTATGTCCATTCATCCAGATCAGGCCTAGGTATACCATTCATTCGGAATAGTT